CAGTCTCCTTTGTGCCCACCAGAGACGCCTGTCGAGACTCCTAACACCTCTCCCGCAGCCTCCCTAATACAATCTGTTGTCGCTGACCACATAGTGCTTGCATCACCACTGCTCCTCCAAGCTCCCATAGCCGACAACTGCCCCTCCAACTCTTGGGCTTTATCCTTAGTTAAAGCTCCCCACCTGATTCTTGGACTTTCTCGAGTAGACCTTTTCCTCCTCTTTAACATAATACCAACATCCATCACCAACAGCCTATGTTGCATCGCGAGTATCTTACCCGGAATCACCTTGTAATTCTTGCACAATCCTCTGTCACCTCTCCTGAGGAGGAGATAGTCAATCTGAGTCTTCGCCACCGCATTTTGAAAAGTAACCAAATGCCTCTCCCTATTTGGAAAGTTAGAGTTCGCAATCACCAACTCAAAAGCCTTAGCGAAGTCCAACAGCGATGTACCTCCTCCGTTTCTCTCCCCAAAACCGAAACCTCCATGCACCTCACCATAACCACATGCAGTCGACCCAATATGCCCATTGAAATCCCCTCCTATGAATAGCTTCTCAGTAAGCGAAACCTGACGCACAATCTCATCTAACCCCTCCCAGAAGTGTCGTTTAACCTCCTTATCTAGGCCCACATGCGGCGCACAGGCGCTAACGACGTTTAGGGTGCACTCTCCAACCACCAACTTAATAATCATCAATCTATCATTCACTCGTCTAACCTCGACCACAAACTCTCTGAGTTCCCTATCCACCAAGATGCCCACTTCATTCTTACTTTTCTGGACTCTTGAGTACCAAAGTTTATACCCGTCCGCGTCCTTGCCCTCGACCCTACCCACCTAGTCTCCTGGACACATGCTATATTGACCCCCCNGAATAAACTAATACGAACTAAGCTGACAACAATTTAACTAACACAACAAAGAAAAACTGGAAAATGGGAGGTACCAACTCACACGAGTCCAATATTAACAAATAGCAAATTCTAAGGAAGAACAATAGAACCTAAAGTCACAACGAGTGCCGAGAAAGGTGTTGTCCACAGCAGCTATATTTTGGAAGTTCCCGCCCGCTTCGCCCGAGGCTCGCTGAAAAATTGTCTCAGCCGCCGCTGCCGCTAGGCTAGGTCAGTGCGCCAGAAAATAGGGGAACGAGGTCACACTGAACAAAATAGTCATTTGACTATTTTTCTAATATTTGAAATTATTTATTTGGTTAATTTTCTAATATTTAGGAATAGTCAATTAATTATTTTCCTAATATTTAGAAATTTAATATTTGAATTTCCCTCCATTTTAGGAGTTCAATGACGTTCAATTCACACTAGGAAAGCTTATATCTTAGAGAATTAATTTAATTTTCCAATTCCTTCGTTAGGAAACTTTATTTCTTTTCAATTCCTTCACTAACAAAGTTTCGTATATTTCCAATCCCCTCAGTTGGAAAGTTTCCTTCTTTTTCAAACCCTTAAAAATATACTTTAAATAGTAATTTAGTTATTTCTTAATTTTATAGACTTTAAAATTAGATAAAATTTTGACTATTAAACCTTTCCTTGTTTAAAATATGTATCTCTTTATATAATGATATTAAATGCACTACATCTCTTTTTATAAACTACTTATATTTAGGAGTTTGAGATCATTAATGAATTTGCCATTTTTATTCTCAAACAAAGTTCAACGCTAAAGTCTTTATGAATGGAAATAAGTTTAAAGCCTCCGATCACCAAAGTATGCATTCTAAAAATCCTACCAAATCTGGTGGCTTTGGGTTCACCTAAATACAAAATTCACCGACAGGAAAACTTTTCTTTTTCCATTGATTCCACCAAATGACTCAATGTAGTTTTTCAATTGCACGTCAAGTTCAAATGATACACCTAATTTTAGAGGAGAGAAAAATATTATTATTTCATCCTTATCATTTACTTTATGTATATCAAGTATATTCTATTAATTAATTTCAAAATAAAGAAGAATCGGGCAACTTCAATAACGTAATTGGAAGCATAAAAATCGCCACCATTTAATTTTGAACTTTATTAAAATAAGAAATGAAACTATAAATTACGTGTCAATCGGTAATTGAATACTCATTATCATTATGTAAATTTTTCCGTATATTTCGAAGTTTTTAATTAATTAAATTTATGGATTAAATCCTTCACTATTTGAATTGTATATAAATTTTTAATATTACATACATTACGAATTCTTTTCTTATTTAAATTATGCAAATTTTTATTTTATAACTCAAACATAATTTTAATATATATTTACATAATTATTTTAAATATATTAATTCATCGAGATGGGGTACACGCGCAAAGCGCGTACCCTAAGACTAGTTTTATTAATATCCACTTGTCGCCGTTTCATTGGCCTAACTTGAACTTCAATCAAAATATAATTAAAATCACTTGTAACCCGTCCGAATATAGACCCGCTCCGATTTTAAAACACAACTCTCTCTCTCTCTCTCTCTCTCTCTCTCTCTCTATCTCTCTCTCTCTCTTTGCCTTCTTCTCCTCGTTGTTATTTGGGCGGAATCCACGATCCGTCGAAACTAGCAATAAACACAACAACCCATCTCACTAGCAAATTATGGATAGAAATTCTTTTTTTTACTAGATTTAGCATAGTAATCTAATCAAAAAAATTGAATTCATGATAACAAAAATGATTTCACAAGAAGAAAACAAATACTAGTGAAGAAAATATCTAAATAATTGCCAACTATTATTAATACATCATATGAACCCAGTGTGTATGAAATGTGATAATTGCACAATACTCGTTACAAAGAACAGAAAAGCTTACAAATTAATAGAGCAAATAGCGAAATAAATTAAATATAGAAATACACGTTACATAAACAGTAAAAAAGATTGAAAAAAATGCTCAAATTTTCGCAGAGGAATGACAAAAAATAATAAAGAAACCCACTAGAATTTTCAAATAAAAATTATAATGAAGAATACCTATTAAATAAACAAAAAGAATCTAAAATGTTTGCATAAAGAAGAATATGACACTTCCTTCCGTCTTCCATAAAAATTATTCTAATAAAGAACTCAATTTTGAATTTGTCTCATGAATAATTGTAAACATACACTCGTACAAAAATGCTCAATGGTGAAGAGACAGAGGTTAGAGAGAGAGTTATATTTTAAAATTATGTCAGATCAATATCCGGGCGGGTTACGGGTGAGTTTAATTATAATTTGACTTAGGATTTACATTAGGCCAATGGGACAGTGACACGTGGAATTAATTAAATTTTCTTTTTTTTTCAAGAATTTTTTTATTAATAATAAGGGTAATGTTAAGCCAAAAAAATAACGGTAAGGACATTTTTATTTAAATAGGTGGACGGAGAGTTTTTTTGTACCAATTCCAATACTTTAGGGGTGATTTTGGCCCTTTCCATTTAAAAAATTATTCTCCATACAGAAATAGACTAAGAGCTCGTTTGGACATAAGAAATTTTTTTCTTTTTTCAAAAAATTTTTACTTTTTTTCGAAATGAGCGTTTATTCGTAAAAATTCTAATTTTCACTTGAAGATGCATTTTGGAAATTTTCAAAAATTTGAAAAACTCCAAAAAGTTATTTTTCAAAATTTTTACTCACAAAACTTCAAAAACAACCCAAAATTATATTCATGTCCAAACACAATTCTAAATTTCAAATACCATTTTCACTTGCAAAAACTTTTCCCCCTATTTTAAAATTTTACAATTCTTATGTCCAAACGCCCACTAAATAGACATACAAATTTGACCAAAAACATGTTGACCTGTTCAAATCTTAACAAAATTACTTGTACCGAACGACTTTTATATTTGACATTGACTCGTACTATTGGGGTGTGCGTGAACAAAGTCTTATAAGGAGTTGAATACTCTCAATGATTTGAGACTTTTTTAGAAAAATCATGCAGACTTCGCTCAAAACAAATAATATCACACCATATTAAATAATATTTTTGAACAGTTTTAATCCAAACACATAAAACAAGAAGACAAAAATGTAGATTGGCATGGCCTTTCGTTATAACCCATATAAGCACGTGGAACTGCACGAAAAAAATCATTAAAAAGATGAAATTTCACCTTGATATTCTAATTAGAATCTCAATTATTGACTCGGCATGATGGGAAACAAAGGATCAGAAACCACGCACATATTCTGTGAGCTTATCTAATCTGATCTTGTGCTGGGTTAGATCAGGTGTTGTTCTCTACGCTGATCTTGTGTGAGTTAAAGTTAAACTTAACAAGGAAAGAAAAGTAAAATCTCTGAACTTTTCTTAGTTGAAATTCTCTAGATTTTATTAGACATTTATGGAACTGTACTCTTTCAACTTGTACATACAATTGAAGGTATATCGAATAGATTCACATTCATTTGTATAAGAGATTTCTTCGTGTCGGTTTGTGAGTAGCACGAATACGTAAGTTTAAATTCGATAAGAAAAAGAGAATTTAGGTAATAGAGACGTTATACAGAAAACATTTGGTCAGACATTTTAAAGCAAGTGCGCTACTAGAGAATATTATTATCCCACCAATTGATTCCCAGGTTTTATCCAAAAAGGAATTAGATTCTGTCAATTTTCAATTTCAGAAATGCATAGAGTTGAGTCCACATACTCCAGTATATCAAAATCTTGTTCAGCACTCTCAAAATTATAGTCTGGTAACAAATACATTTTCGGACTTTATAGAGCGAGCCGTCGAATCAACCTCCAATACTTGCATCAGGTTAGGCCGCATATATCATACCTTTTGGGAACCCTTCCCCAGGATGCTCCATGCACCGGGCTGCCTTTAAATATCGACAAGACACAAAATCTTGATTATATGAAGAAAGTCCTTTGAAACTTAATAGACTAATGAAACGTTGATGTTTTCAGTTCCAGGCAGCAAATTACTTACCGTCGAATTATGGTAAACACTGAAAGATAGTCTAAAAGATATAGAAAGAGAGGTAAGGAAGGAGTGAAGTTCAAATGGCAACAACAATATTGAAGATTTCTCAAAGAAAATTATGTACACAAAACAAACGAAATGTACAGAAGATGTTTAGAGTAACATGCTTTTTTCTACTCTGTAGCTGCAATATTCTTTGGTTCTTTAGTTTCTGTCCGTCTTTTGTGCTAACATCCGAGAAGTTACAGTGTGAAAAATCATAATCAGCTTTAGCATCTTATTTGTATTATACACCATTCCTGTGCTTCCCATTCCATCAATTGCCCACTGAAATAATTGCAGTTCCAAGCAGTAGAGGCCCCTCTGTTAAAGCACAAACAAATGCAAAGTCGCATTTTAGAAGCCAGACGAACATATTGAAGTTAATAACAACTCTGTACTAGTATGGCTAATGCAATGTTATGTGAGTACATGTTAAGACACTTGAATTTTTATACGCCCTTATGTGTGACATGCCAAGATACTTGAATTTTTATACGCCGGTGTGTCCATGTGAAAACTTTTTATATGATCTAATCTTTGGTTTCACGTAAAAGTTAATCGCAAGCTTAAAAGAGAAAGTTAAGCCATAATTACTATGAACTTCTTTTTCGAAGCTTCATAATTGATGCAAGTGACAAAGTTAGCACAATAAACTTATATAAGTTTCCTCCTCGACTTTATTGAACATAAAACAAGACCTTGTTATATTGATAATTGCCAAAGACTACCCAGTAAATGAGATGTTTGAAAATTTGAACTCTTGCAAGGAAAGAGTTAGAGCCAAACCTCCAAGACAAGTCATTCACAAGCAATTTTAGTGTCAAAGCTGCTAAGGCATATAGCAAATGCCTGGAATGCTGATAGTGGGTAGCGGTAATCCATTGTAAACACGTCCTTCCCTACTTTGCCAAACTGCAGAATAACCTTCTCGTGTTCTGGTCCAGCCACACCATTCTCTGGAGAAGCCACCAACTGAAAGTTCTTGACCGAGGCAACAGTTACGCGACCATGAAAGTTCAAACACCAGCACTGGAGCTGCTCATGCCATCTGGGAGCCTTATTTTTCAGAACAAGTGAACCTTCTCTCTGAGTTTCTAAAGGTCCAGATAAGGACTTCTCCATGCGATTTGATTTGGATCGAAGAAACCGAAGTGGAAGTGAGGAATCACTATTGCCCATTGGAAAATCAACCTGTGTTGGAGCTACACCTCCAGGTTTAATGGAAGAAGTGGGGATAGCATCCATTACACAATGCATTCTTCTCGGCCCCCTGCTAGTTACATAAGACGATTGACCTATCATTATCCACTGTCTAATACTAACCAATGTATTATTACCATTAATAATAATAATACTAATATTCCTAGCAGAGGATAGTTTCATACCTTTTTTTTTTGAGAACGAAACATATTTTATATATAAGATAAAGTAACCCTTATCATAAAGATTGTGCTAAGAGATTACAGAAAGTTACAAGACCCCCGAAAAGAGCAAAAACCTAGCCTTAAGAGGATAGTTTCATACATCTAGCAAAATTTAGTCCATAGTGCGAAGAAGAGCAATTAATTTGATTAGAAGTCTCTTCCAAACTTTTGTAAGAAAAGCAAAGCCTCACCTGGCTCCAAGTACATTCAACTCGTACGAAATATGAGCAACTTCATAGTTTCCAGAAGCAACTCTAGGATTCATTTGTTTTGACCCCACAAGCCTAGTGGAACGGCTCTTCACCATTTTCGCTCCAGCATAAGGTAGAATAGCATCATACACAGTGAACTTGGTTCCAAGGAAATTTGATCTAGCCAAAAAGAAAATGACTCGTTAAACACCATCTAAGCATTACCACTCACCCCATCAACACAAAAAGCAAGCCAAACCTTAGTTTCCCGATACAAGTTCCACCTCCCTTTGACATTTCATCCGCATCCAGTGATATAATGTAGTCAGTGCAGGTCGGCCTCCTGTATTTCCGAGCAGCAAGAAGAAACTTGCCATCATCAGCCAATGCTGCCACAATAAACAGATGGAAGAAAAATGTCAGATGATTCCAAACTTGAGGATACATTTCTAGCTGAACATAAATCATGCTTCCCTACACAACCAACTTGCTCGAAAAGATGAACTTCCATAAATTGAAGGCCCGGATTCTGGAAGGGGTATTATCACTTTAAGCCCGCGCCAGAAACTAGTTACATTCGGTAGCCGAAATAGTATATAAAATTGGTTATTATTTTGAGAGCGGCTATATAGTGTCATTTTCCCATTCTGAAACAGTGAATGCTCACCTTGAGTCAAACTGAGGTAAAGATGATATGTCTGTGTTGCCTGGTTTCGCTTTATAAAGCACTGAAGGAGTGTCTCTCGTGGACCAGGCTGCAAAATATAGGGAAATACTTTTAAAATAGATGAAACAAAGATAAAAGTAATAACAAACTTCATAATTGATATATGTAACTTCTTATTCGGACCTTTACAATTTCATTATACTTCATTCTTGTTTTCACTCGTGAGAGGGATGACTAACCATCCTTGTTTTCAAAATCTTGTTTTCACTCGTGAGAGGGATGACTAACCATCCTTGTTTTCAAAATCTTGTTTTCACAATAATTTTATCCGGTATGCGGATATGAAAATCATCATTTTTGCATAACAATAAAACTTGGAAGAAGTTGTTTAGAAAGAAGAAAAAGGTGATTAAGCATATAATTGTCGACAAGCTAGAACAGATACAAGAAAATGAACCAAAGAGTTGGCTAGTGCCTAACATATATCATTTCATCAGCTTCCAAATCGGCAAGCAAGCTCAGTTCAAGCCAAGCTAATCTTGAATTTCAATATATGTCCTTCAAATTAAGCTATAGAACAAATAACAAATCTAAGCCTTGAAGAAATGAAGCTGTATTTGTTTTAAAGGGTAAAACCACTAAAAGAAACAAGAAAACTCCAAATCAAATCAACACAATAAGCAACAAATTACTCCTAAAATATGACCACCTCAAATCTAATGCAAACCACAAAGAAAATAAACATAATTAACACATCCTTGATCAATTAAAGAGTGAGTTTCTTTTACCTGCTTAACTGAAATTGGGAAGGTTAATTTGCCAGAAACTTCAGGGGTCTTAACCAACTCCTTCATAATCTCTCTCCAGCTCCTACAAACTCCAGCACAAGCCACAACATTTTTTCTCAGAGGCCACTTAGATTCTGTATCCTCAATTCTCATTAGAACTTCTCTTAATAGCTCTGAAGGCAAATTAGCCCAATAGCTTTCTATAAACTCTTCATCAATCTCAATCCCTTCTGTTTCCTCTGCCACAGCTACCACTGAGCTGTGGCGAGATCTTGATTTAGACCCATAACCCCACTTCATTCCAACCCCAAAATATAAACAAAAAATGAAAATAAATTCTCAAACAAGCCTCACAAGCTCAAGAAAAACAGACCCATCAAACGAAATTTCGTAAATTTAAGACGGAAAATTCAAAATCTACAATTCAGAATGCAACTTAAATCTAGATCTGAAACCCAAGATTCACCAAACACCAAAAAGATAAAACTTTAATCACCAAACACCAAAAAGATATAATCTTTAGCACTCATCTATGTCTAAGCTCAAGACCCATCTTCAAAAAAAAAAAAACTGATATATGCATTAACACACAAAATTGAACCCAAAAAAACCAAGAAACCAGATGGGTTTTGAATGAAACTGAAAAAAATGAGGAATTGCTGAATCTTGAAGTGATAGGAATAAATAGAAATCAAAGAAGGTAATTTGGAAGGTGAAAATGAATAATAGTGGAGTATATATATGTGTTTAAGATTAGGTTTGTAGTAAGAAAAAGAGGTGGAGGAGGAAGAAATGAGGAAGTAGATGTGTGTAAACTGTAAAGAAGAAAATATGGAAACTACTGTATTTTTATTGTTTTCTGGAAAAAAGTACGATAAATACTGCTAAGTAGGGGATGTTGTCGAGAGAGTGATAGTGGATAGATAAGTGAATCATTGGGTGAATGGTCCCACACTTTCCTTTTTTTTTCCTGAGTATTGAGTATTTAGTAGGCGTTTGAAATTAAAAATTACTTACTATAATTTTTGAAAAAACAAAATTTATTTGAAGTTAAGTTGAAAATTTTGAAATTATGTTTGGATATAAATTTACTTGAAATGCTGCAGTTATGTAAGAGGGGAAAAAGTTTTGAAAATTTATTTTTGAAACTTTTTAAAAAACTTACAAAATATATAAACAAATATATTTTTGAAAATTACTCCATTCTTCAGTTTCTATTTTTTTAATATATAATTAACTTAAATTTTAAAAATGAAGTATGTGCGATTAGTTACTATTTAAAAGTTGGTGATAAGATGTAAACTACATGGAAATTTTCTAGTAATTGTTAATTACACGAGTTCACATTTTTCATGTGGTAATCTAAAGATATTAGGAGTTGGTTCAAATAAAATTCATTTATTATGAAAGATAATATTTTAGATAACTATAATTATTAAAACCACAACTATAACAAAAGTCTTTGTATGATAAGGACTCATAAATAATATGGATATGTAATTGGTTTGAACTGGATAATAATGGCGTATAAATACTCTTAGACTAAAATCGTACCAACTTCTTTTTATTAAACAGGAGTTGGTTCATTGAAAATAACACGTTACCTTATTTAGTATTTTAAATTATATTTTTTGTTTCTTAATAGTTAAATATTCAGGTTCAATTCTCACTAAAACGTTTCTTGCCCTTTTACTTTCAATACTTTTTTCAATTGCATCCGAAAATCATACTGCGATTTGTTCTATTTTCTATATAGCTTTAAGAATGAAATTTTATTTTAATTCAAACACTAAGAAATCAATGTCTAAATTCATATAGAAAGTTAGATTCGTTAATTTTTATATTTTTATTTTTTAGTGACATGATAGTAATCTCTTTTCTCCTTCATTACTCAACCTTAAAGGTCTCATACTTAGAAAATTTACATTATTCTTTTATTTATTTATTTATTTATTTAAGAAGCTTACAAAATTATCTGTCTTTTCATTTCATGTGCTGCTCTGACATTAATGAGTATCACTTAGGCCTTAGTAGTATATTTTATGTACATTTATAGATAATACAATCAAAATAAAATTACATTATTCATTTTCTCTTCTTTTAACCTCTACTTTTCTTCCCTCATTTTTAAGAGCATCTGAGGGGTACATTCCATTCTCACAGATTTTTCATTTCCTACTCTAAGCTCTCAAATAGTGTTTGATAAAATCCATAAATGTAATAAATTAGTTAAAAAATTATCTTCTTCTTTACCTAATTAATGAGGAAATAGGAAGACTTCATTAAACAATAATAATCAAGATCAGTATTTTACAAGGCGAGAACGTAAGACATGATATTTTACTTAATATGGAGCGAAGCCGTATGCCCCGACACATTGGGCGTAAGCTTCATGGATCTTTAAATTTTTAATTAATAAATTAATAAAATAGCATAATACCCACAAATAATATATAAAATACATTAAAAGTTTAAGAAAAATATAAAAGAAATAAAAAAACTCATAAAAATAAAATATCCAATATTTTTTTTTATAGATATAAGCAATGCAATAGTGTTTAATTTACTATGAGATAAAAATCAACTATAACGTCTTATCTTTTAAACAATTAAAAAAATTATATTATAAATAATGTCACGGCACTTTGTCATATAATTTTATGATTAAGAATTGTTAGGGATTTCATTCAAATTCAGCTCGCAAAATTGACATCATGGTATGGGAGGAAGCAATTTTCTACTATTTAATATTGAATTATCCTAAAAAAATCTTTTTTCAAATAACATCGATGATGTGATGTTAACTTTAATTGCGAGATGGACTTCCATTAGTTTATATATCTACAAAAAGCTTGCTATTTCCTCTCTTTATCTAGTTACTCCCTAAATATAATCAGTGAACAATTTTGCTTCCACGTCACAAATATCTATATATAGAAAATACCATACTATATCTTTTTCCATTTTTGGGGAGAATATAACATAAGAACGAGTATTTGATAGAGGTAAGAATATACTGGAGTAACGTATTTTTGCAAATAAAAATTAGAAAAGAAAATAAAAACTCGATAAGAATCTCTGCTTGATCAATTGGATTTAGTAAATAAAATAAAATTCATATGGTACAATGAGGCCCATAGCTATGTGAACATTTGATCCGACAAAGATAAACAACATGATCAAATATATATGGATAAATAATAAAAATATTTGGTGAGAATTCAAATACCTTAAAATAGTCAACAATCCAACCTGAAAGACCAAAGTATTAGCTGTTTTTGTCCACCTTTAAAGACCAAACTGCTTATAATTTCTAAACTGTGAATGAGGTCGTTGAGCTACTCGTTTTGAATAATCTTAAATCCATAGAAATTAGCAATAATCTTACATGTTTTATTCCACACTTCACATTAAATTTTCTATTTAAAAAATTGATTTTCGTATTTACCAATTCACGAATATTGTTCCTCCTCATTTGTCAAAGGAGTAACACAAAACTCTCTATAGATTTTGAAGGCATAGCACTCAATTGCTTTACATAAATATGTCACACTTTCAGATCTTAATGATAATTTACAAAATTAATTCCTTAGTCCATTTTTACTTGTTTACTGTACAAAATAAAATGTCTACTTTAGTTGTCCAATTTAAATATTCAAGAGATAATTTATCATTTTATATATATTTTACCTCTATTATTAAGTACTGCTAACCATTTCCAGGTCATTCCCCAAATCCCAACATGCTAAAATTAGGAGTAGTATAGTCAAATTATTATTTTATTAATTGCTTCTTAAGGGATGTGTCAAGTGAAACATGGACAAGTAAAAATAAACAAAAAAATTATTTTAGAAATATAATTTATCTATACTATATTAAAAGTACGAATGCCCTTAGCAAAATGTCATTCGCATTTTTTACCCTTTAAAAATAGATTTCACAATGGTTTAGAATTTTCAAATTAACTTCAGTTAATACTTAGCCTAATATTTAAGACAATAATGTATAATAAATTCCTCAACTTAGATTTTCTCTCTTCGTTAGACAATATAACAAATCCTTTTAAGCTTCAAATCTTACATGAAGCTAAAAAGCCACAAAAAACCTAAAGCCACAAAACCTTGCCATCATCCGCGAAGTAATACTACAAAAGTGTACTTGTTTAAATATTATTATTATTATTATTATTATTATTATTATTATTATTATTATTATTATTATTATTATTATTATTATTTAAATATCATTTATGATTCTTTTAGGAGCATGATCCAAAAATTAGACACGAAGTAACAATACATAAAGCTCCAATATTCAGTGTGTGTGCTAAAAAATTTAAAAAATTATAAAAGTATACTTATTTGCTAACAATGAAGCAAGAATATTCAAAGAATGCATAATCGTACAATGAATAATCCAATTATTTTTTTACTGCATGCAATTTTGTTAGAAGTTAGAATATGATATGACACAAATCACCAAAAAACATGGCTACATGATTACTTGCGCCAAAATGATCTCAATTCCAATTGACAAAAGAAATATTATGTTTAACGACAAACGAAATAACCTTATTGTGACCGAACTAAAAAAAACCAAAAAAAAAAATCATTTACATGAAAGAATTCTTTTTACTTATTATAGAGATTTACGCGACGATCATTTTTCTCATTATACTAGACTGCAAGCTATCAAATTCTTTGGCTCTAGAACCGAATTGAAACATTGAAAATAAACAGAAATACATCTTTAAAATAATTAATTATGCTATTTTAATAAGTTTTTTCTCATTGGGTACACGCGTCACGCGCGTACACTAAGACTAGTAAAGATAAAAACCGGGTAGTTGGTTGAGGATGATGGAATGGGCCCACAGCACTTACTAAGAATGGGCCCATCAATTCACAACGCAGGGAGGAAGATGCCTTTTGGTCCAATGGGCTGTATATTGTAGAATGGTTGGCCCATTTATCTTCTCTTTCCAACCCTAAAAGACGCACGAACTAGAATTTCTACTTATATTAAAAAATACAATATATATAGTAAAGCTAAACGGCATTTATTTGCAGCTTCGCTTTCTTGTACTTTGTTCTTCTCTAGATTTAGTATGTCAATAACAAACAAAAGGAAGTTATGTAGGAAGTTTCAGCTGTCCCAAAAGATATTTGTAATTTACTTCTTTCATTCGTTACAAAGTTGGATTCAAGATTTTCATCATTATATTACTAAATTAATTATTTCCTCGTAGCATAGATGCAGACAAAATAAATAAAAAATTAAACTTCATAAGTAACTAATATGTGTTAACGAATAATTCCTTATATTCTTCAATCAAGTTTTAGCTAAATTTCGTTATAGCTTAGCTAACTAGGTTTCTTGTAATAGTAGTTTATTTCCAAAGAGATATATTTGTTAGTCAACTAGTCTGTGTTTTTATTGAGTAAACAAGTGTATAAAAATCAAAAACACTATTCCGATAATAACTTTAAATTATGTGTCTATTCTTATACTATATGAGTATGTACTTTTAATATAAGATGCCTGTAAATTGCAAGATCAATAAGACAATAATCTCTCTTACGGAATATTAACTAATCCTTCAACTGATGCCAAGATAAAAGTGTTTAGCATTTCAGAAGTGTTAAAATTAATTGTTATATATGTGAAATCTCATATATACCATTTGTTCATAGTGTCTTTCATTTTTTTTTCTCTCTATATCTCTATGTCTTCGTTGAAGAAAATATTTGAATCACCGACCTTAGCTTCTTCAAAAAATTTCTTTTGGATTACGTTTCTATTATATATTGAGTTGTTCTTAAAAATGTGGAGTTGGAAGAAACC